GGGGTTTTAAGTAACTGACAGATGGAGGTTGGTGGCTAACTACTCCTGCTTTTCGCTTCTAGGAATTTCAACAGTTAGACTGATATGTAATGGGTATTTCTGTTAAAAGAGAAAAGAGAGAGAGCGAAGCATCGACTTCCTGTTCCACTTCTCGTCCCCTCATTGGTAGATTCCTGTCTGTGCCCTGACCAGGGCTCGAGCCCACCGCCGTGGCGATGTCGGGCGATGCTCTCAGCGGCCGAGCCACCGGCCGGGGCGCCGGGGCCTGGTAAGAGCCGAGTGTCCCTTTGTGTGACCGTCACAGATCTACCTGCGGTTCCTGGATTACCAGATGGAGCATTCCAACGAGTGCAAGAGGAACTTCGTCGCCGTCTACGACGGGAGCAGTGCGATCGAGAACCTCAAGGCCAAGTTCTGCAGCACGGTGGCCAACGACGTCATGCTCAAGACCGGCGTGGGGGTGGTCCGCATGTGGGCGGACGAGGGCAGCCGGCTCAGCAGGTTCCGGATGCTCTTCACGTCCTTCGTGGAGCGTAAGTGAGCGGCCCCGTCCAGGGAGGTCGCTGGCATCGCTGTCAGTCATTCACAGGACAGTCGTTGAACATCTTTCTTTTTTCTTTTCTTTTTTTAATATATTTTTATTGGTTTCAGAGAGGAAGGGGGGCGAGGGAGAGAAGCACCAATGATGAGAGAGAATCATGGGTCTGCTGCCTCCTGCACGCCCCACACTGGGGATCGAGCCTGCAACCTGGGCCTGTGCCCTGACCGGGAATCGAACCCTGACCTACTGGTTCGTAGGTTGATGCTCAACCCCTGAGCCATGCCGGCTGGGCATGGAGCGTCCCCATGGCAACTCACAGGATGTAGAAATAACTGAGTCTGAGTCCCTCCTCTCAGGGAGCGGACTGTTGTGGGTGAAACGGCCATGTGGATACAGGAGGTACTGCCTGCCTTGGGAAGTAGTGAGCACACAGTCGGGAAAGCAGAGAGGGGAGGCTCCTCTCGAAATTTTCAAAATTAAAAATGATGATCAGGCCCGGCCGGCGGGGCTCAGTGGTTGAGTGTCGACCTAGGAACCAGGAGGTCACGGTTCGATTCCCGGTCAGGGCACAGGCCTGGGTTGTGGGCTCCACCCCCAGTAGGGGGCGTGCAGGAGGCAGCCGGTCCATGATTCTCTCTCATGGATCCGGGTTAAGTGCCGCCTCTGCCCTCCTCTGGCCATCCTGTGTCTGCGAGAGTGACCCGAGCCCAGGAGACGTTTATACTCGGGGCCCAGTTCTGCTCGGAGACTCACTCCCTACCCGCCCACCGGAGATCGCAGCCGAGACGGGAATAGCCCAGCTCGGGAAGTGCCAAAACGGAACGGCTGTCAGAACGGGCCCGCGGCTGTGGGTTTAGGCAAGGAACTTCTAGGACTGCAGTGTGAAAGCGGGGAGGGGTTTTGTTAGAATAAGCCCATAATGCCATTTCCGGTGACCTGCAGCCTGCGGGCCCCCTGCGGGCGTGGTTGAAGGACAGCCGTCTTTCAGCATCATCACAAGTGGGGCTGAGCCCTGGCTGGTTTGGCTCAGTGGATAGAGCGTCGGCCTGCGGACTGGAGGGTCCCAGGTTCAGTTCCAGTCAAGGGCACATGCCTGGGTTTCGGGCTCCATCCCCAGTAGGGGGTGTGCAGGAGGCAGCCGATCAATGATTCTCTCCCATCATTGATGTTTCTATCTCTCTCTCTCCCTCTCCTTTCCTCTCTGACATCAATCTGGGGTACTCACAGGCTCAATGCACCAGATCTTAAAATTCTAAAAAGAAAGTGGAGCTGAGCCCTGGCCGGTGTTGCTCAGTGGATAGAGTGCTGGCCCGAAGACTGACGGGTTCAGTCAAGGTCACGTACCTCAGTTGCAGGCTCTTCCCCAGCCTGGGCCCTCCCTGGCCAGGGTGCATGCAAGAGGCAGCCAATCAATGTGTTTCTCTCATCGATGTTTCTGTCTTCCACTCTCTTTAAAAATCAATGGAAAAGTACCCTCGGGTGAGGATTAAGATAAAATGAAGTTTGCACGTGGTCATCAGGGAGTGCCGCCCACCTGCCTGGCTGCGAGAGATTGATCCATCAGTTGCCTCCTGCACGCCCCCCACTGGGCACATGCCTGGGTTGTGGGCTCGATCTCCAGTAGGGGGCGTGCAGGAGGCAGCTGATCAATGATTCTTTCTCATCAATGTTTTTATCTCTCTCCCTTCCTCTTTCTCTAAAACCAATTTTTTTAAAAAAAAATTTTTTTAAAAGCCCTGGCTGATGTGGCTCAGTGGCTAGAGCGTCAGCCTGTGAGTTGAGGGGCCCTGGGACTGATTCCGGTCAAGGGCACATGCCCCAGTTGTGGGCTGGAGCCCCCGTAGGGAGCGTACAGGAGGCAGCCCATCAATGACTCATCACTGATGTGTCTCTCCTCTCCCTTCCTCTCTGAATTCAATAAAAATACATTTTTTAAAATTAAAAAAAAAACCCTAATTTTAAATTGTATTATCTGTGGTGTATGTATTTGACCCAAACGTCCCCTAAAAGCACTTTCCTGGTCTGTGACAAGCTCCCTTTATTTTTTTTAATACTAAGGTTTTTAAAATATTTGTATTGGTTTCATAGAGGAGGGGAGAGAGAGAGAGAGAGAAACCTCGATGATGAGAGAGAATCACGGACCCGCTGCCTCCTGCACGCCCCGCACTGGGGATGGAGCCCGCAAC